AAGCAAAGAATTTATACAAAAAGCACCCCCTACACCAGGCATGGTAGCACATGCCTGTAATCCTAGCACTTGAAAGTGAAGGCAGAAGGAGTTCATGAGTTCACGCCAGCTTGGTCTACAAAGCATGTTCTAGGTCAGCCTGGGTTACATAAAACTGTTTCAAAAATAAGTAACAGTAAACCAGATGCCAATGGATCATATCTAGCTAATCAGGAGGCTGAGATATGAGTACTACAGTTTGAAGCCAGCCAGTGTAGGAGAGTCCATAAGACTCTTATCAGCAATTAGCCACCAAAGGGGGAAAAAAAAAACAGAAGTAGAACTGTGGCTCAAGTAATAGATCACTAGCCTTGCACAAAGAAGCTCAAGGACAGAGCCAGGACCAGCACAAAAATATAATTAACTAAATAAACAAACAACAAAAAAGATGCTCTCTCTATTTAAGCAGGTCACACGGACTACACTATAAAACTTTTGAGTTTGTTGACCCCATTCCACTGTACGTTTGCCCCCTATACCCTTAGATTGCAGTATCCACTTCCCTAGGCCATCATGGTCTGTACCCCATACAGCAGAAGCACAGGCCTCTCTACATTCACCTCACCTCTAAAACTGGCTTACCCACAAACTTAGTATTGTCCTTCTTCCCTCCTTTGGCTACAGCTTTGGGTAATCTCATCCATATAAAGATATATACCACACTCGTGGTGATGACTCCCAAAGGCAAATTTCTGAGAAGCTTCTGTCCCATCTCTCTTTGGAACTCCACACACTGATACAAATATCTTTATCCATTTGTTTGTTTTCAGTATTTTTATAGCTCTTTTGAAGTAAAACTAATACAAAATAAACTGCAAATATTTAAGAAAGCTGGGTACCCGTGACTCATGCCTGTACTTCTAGCCATTCAGGAGGGTGAGACAGAGAATCATGTTTTGAAGCCAGGTCAGGCAGAAAAGTCTGAGACTCTACCTCCAAATTACCTGCAAAGAAATCTAGACTAGATGTATAGCTAAAGGTAGAATAGCCATAAACAGAAAAGCTAAGGAAGAGTAGAAGGTCTTGTTCATACCCTCATACCAATACCAAAAACTAAGTTTAAAGTGAGAAGTCCTGATATGCAAATATAGTATAAAACAATCCCATCAAAATAATGAACCTATCTATTACTCCAAAAGGTTTATTTAGATCCTCTAAGTAATCCATCTCTCCAACTGCCACTTAGGCCACCACCAATCTTCCTTTGTTACTATTATTTAGTTCGCATTTTTCTAGAGTTTCATAGAAATAGAATTGCACTGAGTGTATTAATTTCTGCCTACCTTCTTTTACCCGTCATAATTTAATTTGAGATTCACGTATGTTGTGGCATGTATCAGTCATTCACATTTTTTATTGCTGAGTTTATTCCACTGAATGAATACACTGAAGTTGGATTAGCCATTCACATACTGATGGAGATTTTGGATTGGTTCCATTTTGGGGCTATTACAAATATGGTTGAATGAAAATTTATGTGTAAGACTTTATGTAGACAAATGCTTTCATTTCACTAAGGTAAAGAGCCAAGAATTAGTGACTGTATCATGTTAGGTATATGCCTCACTTTTTAAAAAATGGCTAGACTTTTTTCCAAAGTGACTGTGTCAGCAGTTCTAGCTATTCCATTTCCTTGCCAACACTGGTTATTGGCCATCTTTTTCCTGGGCACTGTCTATAAGCTTCATTTTTCTCAAGATTAGCACTCTACCACTTGAGCTCATGCATTCAAGGCAAGCACTCTACCATTAAGCCACATCCCCAGCCCCTATTGTCAGTCTTTTTAACATCAGCTGTTCTAGTGGATCTGCATTGGTATCTCATGCTTCCAATTTACATACCCTTAATGACTAATTATACTAAGAATCTTTTCTTGTTCATTTGCCAACATTTATCTCCTTTAATGAAGAATTCAGATCTAATGAATTTTGTAATTGAGTTACTATTACATTGTTTTAGATAAAAGTCTTTGATTAGATAAGTGTTTTCCAAATATTTTCTCCTCATTTGTGGCCTGTCTTTTGATTTTTATGTCTATTGAAGAGTAAAAGTTACTCTTTAGCCTAGGGTGGTATGAAACATTAAATATGGAATATGAAGCATCACTGCATAAGCAAGTCTTGATCATCACAATATCTGCTGGACAGAACCAGCACTTTATGGCCCACCTAACAGTCCATACCAATGTGTAACTGTCCCTACTGGACTGGTTTAATCTCTTCCACTTTAGCATAATACCTGTGAAACAGCAAAACAATCTGAATATACTGATTTGGGGAATGCTTAGGTATCTCCCATGACCTAGGAATTCATAAAATTAGACCTCTGGGAGAAAAGAACTTTTTGGACTGAGTTTTATAGAACGTACAGATTTTTGTACCAAAAAGCTAAGGCACTAAGGATGAAGCAATAATAGCGCAGTCCCAAACCTGTCCTTCTAGACCTCAACAAAACAAATACCTTCACCCCCAAACCAGCTCCAAGCTTTGATCAACCACCTATCCCATCTTTCTAGATAGGAAGAATATACTTGCTGGCCCTATCAACAAAGCAGGTGAGGAACAAGGGAAATAATGCAACAAATCTATTTATTCTTTCTTATAGACAGACAGACAGACAGACAGACAGACAGACAGACAGACAGACAGATAGATAGATAGATAGATAGATAGATAGATATTTTATTTCCCTTCAGTCGTGGGGCTTGAAATCTGGGCCTGCACACTGTCCCTGAACTTTTCAGCTCAAGGCTAGTGCTCTACCACTTGAGCAACAATGACAAATTAGACCCAGAGGTCTAATTTCTGATGGTTAACCGGAGATAAGAGTCTCAGGGACTTTCCTGCCCAGGCTGGTGTTGAACCATGATGCTCAGATCTCAGCCTCCTGAGTAGGTAGGGCTACAGGCGTTAGCCACTGGCACCGGCTCTTTTTTTTTTTTTTTAATCCTTTTTCTGGCGGGGGCCACAGTCCAGCAAGTTGGCCTTGGTTGGCCAAACAACCTCATCCACTCATGCAGCATTCCAATTAGTGTTCTGCCATACTCTCTCCATTTCTGCTGTTCTACCAGTAGACACTTCATTCATACCTAAATGCACTGTTATGGCTTGAGTGCTTGTTCTCTCAAAAATTCATGTAAAAGCCGGGCACTGGTGGCTCACGCCTGTAATCCTAGCTACTCAGGAGGCTGAGATCTGAGGATCGCGGTTCAAAGCCAGCCCGGGCAGGAAAGACCGTGAGACTCCTATCTCCAATAAACCACCAGAAAACCGGAAGTGGCGCTGTAGCTCAAGTGGTAGAGTGCTCGCCTTGAGCTGAAGAGCTGAGGGACAGCACCCAGGCCCAGAGTTCAAGCCCCACGACCGACAAAAAAAAAAAAAAAAAAAAAAAATTCATGTAAAAACTTAAACCCAAATGATACCTAGGAAAATTCACTCATAAAAAACATTGCACTTGCCTTACAGTACTAAAATTAAGTGTGCCTAAATGTGCTTAACATATATGCAGCCCTGTCTCCACTCTCCATTAGACTATAAACTCCATGAAGGCAAGTACTATGTCTATTCTGACCGTTATGAAAATCCTTGTACTCTGTTGTACCTCACAGAGTTCTAATCAATTCTTCTAGCTCTATCAGATTAAAAAAAAAAAAGAATTCAATTTGTTCTTCGCCAAAGCTCTGAGATAAGATTCTAGTCCTCACATTACATCTTTTCTGGAAAAATCAGCTATAAGAATGAACAGTCTTGAGTTTCCATGATTCTAAGGTTTGCAGGTGCCATGCTATTATTTTTTCATTTATTTGTCATGAAAAATCTACGGAGTAGGTACTAGGCTTATTCTGACTTTATGGATGCATTTGAGGAAAAGAGATATGATAATTCACCAAAAGTTACACAGATGAATGGCAGAGATGAGATTCAAACCCCAGTAGCCTCACCTACAAGCCCACATTACTAATCACTGTACCTCGCACTGAAAGGACACCAAATTGTTAAATACCAATAAACTGAGCCAAATGAAACAAATGATATAAAGACAAATTCAGACTTGGACATACAAGTATAAGGCAGCAATTCAAAGAAATTAAATTATTCAGAGAAACTTAAAGCCTGACCTTCATTGTTATTTGAAATAAGTCAAAATTAAAATCACATCATCATTTTCAATTGATATACACACATGAAGACTAAATTCCAGAACATTCTTTCATGACATACATTTTCTATCCAGGCACAGGTGGTTCATACCTGTAATCCTACATACTTAAGAGGGTGAGATCTAAGGATTGCAGTTCAAAGCCAGCCCAGGGAAGTCCATGAAATTCTTATCTCCAATTGATCACCAAAAGGCCAGATGGCAAGTTGTGGCTCAAATGGCAGAGCGCTAGCCTTGAGCACAAAAGTTCAGCTATACTGCCCAGACCCTGAGTTCAAGCCCCAAAACTAACATAAAAAAAAAAAACACTTTCTTTTGCCACTAATTCTTATTTTATAAAAATACATACATGCTATTTTTATGAGCCAAAGGATACCAATCACCACACTAGGCCAAGCATGTGTTGCCATGTTTTCCAGTACAGGCAGGAGAATGTCTGAAGAATGTCACCATCCCTATGGCTTTGACTGGCCAGATTTCTCAGCACAGGGTGTGGAAAAATAATACAACTCAAGTTTGACTATATTGGCAAGCTTTATTTTTATCCAAAAGAACACCGAAAAAAATATAAGGCATGTGTCAAAGAAAACAGAATGGTCAGAGAAAAACAAGTCAAATTATCCAATGTCTTCCCAGCAGGTACCTTTAAGTACCCACCATGCAGTATCCTGGTTCACAGGCACTCAACCTCACCTGTAGGGCTTACAAATTATCCTCTAGTTTACAATGCCTCATTCTTACATAATTGGGAGAAAGAAAGATTACAAAGAAGAAACAAATTAAGAAAGGGATATTTAACTCACCTTCCACTGCTCTTCGGGAAGCAGTTTTACAACCACCACGTCCCCATTTAAGGCTCTATTACGAGCAACAACCCCATCAATAAAAATGTCTCGATCACCATCCTAGATTGGAGAGAAAAATAAGGAAATAGTCATCTTAGTGAGGCCTCAAACCAAAACTTACTTCCTTGGTTTAAATTGTTTAGATACCCATCTGTGCACTTTCTTAACAGGAATTCTAAGTATATGACTATAAATTTAACTAAAACATCTTTCAAACAAAAAGATGTGGTAATGAGTACATAACAACAAAAACTCACAAAAATAATCAACTAGATGCAAGACAAAAATAAAACAAAAATATCAATCAAAATACAAAATGAGCCAGGTGCCGGTGGCTCATGCCTATAATCCTGGCTACTAAGGAGGCTGAGATCTGAGGATTGTGGTTCAAAGCCAGCCCAGGCAAGAAAGTCTTGAGACTCTTACCTCCAATTAATCACCATAAAACCAGAAATGGGCTGTGGCTCAAGTGGTAGAGCACTTGCCTTGAGCTGAAGAGCTGAGGGACAGCACCCAGGTCCAGAGTTCAAGCCCCACAACCAACAAAAAAGAAAAACAAAACACAAAATGCATAGAACAAACAAAAATTACGCTTTCAAAACTGAAATGAAAAAGGAGTTGTTCTTGTTATCCTTTTTGTTTTAAATAAAGTAAGGCATGCAGATACTTTTTTTAAACTATAGATATTTCTTTAAAGTGTCAAGGAAAGGTGAAAAAGAGGAGATATGCAAATGCACAGAAAAGAAACAACAAATAATCCCCAGGGAAACCCCCTGAGGGCAGGTGCAGCACCCAACTTCAAGACTCAAGTTCTCTAAGAGGAAGGAACCCCAGAATAATACTGCCTACTAGAAAAGGCAAAAGGAGCAATTTGCTTGTTTTTATACACATTTAAGGAGAAGCAAAAAGAACAGGAAGAGAAGTTACATGAGAATCATAAAGCATTGCAACACCCATGTAACTTGTAAACTGGGTGAGCTCCATACCAGGACCAGAAGGCACTGGCCCCTCACATTCTCAACTACCTATTCTGAGTAGTGTGGTGCTCCATAAAACTCTCCTCGGGTATCCATGTCTCAACTTAATAGGTACTAGTCTTCCTGATAAGCCAAATTACTTTGCAAAACCTCTTAAGAAGGAAAAGAGTGTTAGTTAAAAGCTGCTTTTCGACTGTAAAGCACAAATGAATGTGCTTTAATTCTTTTAAATTGCTTTAGCAGGATGCTGTGGTGTTTTACCATCTTTTCTGTACAAGTCATATTTTCTACAAAATAAAATAAAATAAAGAAGGATCATGAACAAGCTTTCTGTGATTCTGTCTTCTGGTGTGTTACTGATCAAGACTGGGGCATCCCGGTGGCCCCAGCACCATGGTTTTCTCTGTTTTGGTTGGGGGGCAGAAGGACTGATGTGAATTGAGGGTTTTAGCTTTTTCATTGACATGACAATATCCCATAGTTCAGTCTAATCTAGTCTTCTCAGTTTTCATTAGTATAAAGGTGTGTAGTCATTTAGCAAAAGAAACTATCAACAGCTATAGAAAGCAAGGTAGGAGAAGGAAGACTTTCAGAGGTCAGGCCAAGAAAAAATGTTTCACCAACCAAGTTCCTTTTCTTTCTTTGTTTATTCCTTTCTTTCTATCTTTCTTTCTTTCTTTTTTTGAGAGCAAGGGAGAGGCAGTTTGGGGGCTTGAACTCAGGGACTGGGTGCTGTCCCTCGAGCTTTTCTGCTCAAGGCTAGCACTTTACTACTTTAGACACCTGACCACTTCTGACATTTTTTTGGTGGTAACTGGAAATAAGAGTCTGGCTTTGAACTGTGATCCTCAAATCTCAGTCTCCTTAATAGCTAGAATTATAGGCATGAGCCACCAGCTTCCAACTGTACTTTTCTTTTATTCTCCCAGAAGCTCATTTCTATAGAGTACTAGAAAAGTCAAATGTAAACTTTTCTTACAGGAAGTGTCAAAAGAAGAGTCTAAAAAGTCACTACTCAATTTTTTTAATATAGATACTCTATAGATAAGATTAAACAATCAAAGGACTAAAGGTGATCGCTATGAAACTCTAGTTAATTAAAAGTGTCATACCAAAATCATCAAGAAAAAAAATGAGATTTTAGTCCTCGGTGTTTTGCTAATTGTTTCCTATTACACACCATTTAAGAACTTTTAGAATAGATTTCCTGTTGAGTTCCAATCGAGCAATGGGCTGGCAGCTGTGTCCTACAAACTGCCAAACCTGACCCCACCCTAAGTCCCTGAGGATCAACTACTGTGTTAGCCACAAAGAATTACTGAATTTGACCTCACAAGGAGCTTCTCAGAGAGAGAGAAAGAGAGAGAGAGAGAGAGAGAGGCAGAGAGGGAGAGAGGGAGAGAGAGGTAAATAGTGAACAACTGAACAACTGAAGTATGGCCTGTCACCCTGAGTTTCTGCCTTCAGCAATTTATAAAGCAACGTGATCTGGTAAGACTTCTCTGCAATGGAGAGAACTGTTTGGAGGTCATCTTAACTTGTTCTTCTGTATCAAAACACACAATGAAATGCCTGTTCTATAGCAGCTGTAACCATCCCTTTGGCAACTCAGAGATTTCAGTGATAGAACGATGGTAATGCCATCTCTCTATCTAATAAAAATAAGGAAAGGAGTCTAAGCTGAACTTCGTTTGACTCACAGAGCCCTAGTTAATTCTATCTTTACTCAGTTCTTCCTTAATTGGTCCACAAGCCGGTAATTATTGCCAAATCTCTCTCTTTTTTTAAAGATACTAAACTTCAGTGGGGTATGGTGACACGCACCTATAATCCCAGCACTGGGGAGGTAGAGGCAGGAAGATTTCAAATTCAAAGTCAGCTTGGATTACAAACAGACCATGCCTCAAAAAAAAGGGGAAAAATACGAATATATTAAATTTCAAACAGGTCAATATTAAAATTTCAATTATTCCTTTTTAAGTAGGCTACCAAGAACAGAAGGGTAGATGGGAGAATGGACAGAGAAAAGAAGGAAAGCAGGGAAAGGAGAGCAGAGAGGGAAAAGGGAAAAAGAGGGGAAAAGAAAAGGGAAGGGAAAGTAGAAAAGAAAGGGATACAACTTGGGGGGGGGGGGGGGGCGGGAAGGAAGGGATGGGAAGGGGAAACAAAGAAGGAGGCAATAATGCTTGATAAGAAATGTACTCATTACCTTGCCCATATAATTGTAACCCCTCTGTACAGTATTTTCACAATTAAAAAAAAACAACAACAAAAGGAGGAGTAACAATGCTCGGTAGGAAGTGTACTTATTACCTTACTCATGTAACTGTAACCCCTCTGTACAGTGTTTTTACAATAAAAAACATATTTAAAAAAAGAAAGGAAAGGGATAATGAACATAAAGAAAATATAAACAAATTTGGGAATAATCTAAATACTTATGAAAGAAAATGAAGGAGGACAATTTAAGAAAGTCATGATAGCCAAAGCATCTTCTATCAATAGAACAGCTCCCTTTTGGAGCAGAAATAAATTTCACAGCTGTATAAAGGGTGTCTTCCATGACAAGACACACACGAAGTTATTTTATATTGAAGATCAATTGTTTTTAGCCTACTATACTGATTTTCTGGCATAGCAAATGACATTATATGAATTCATAACCTTTTTTACAGGAGGAATATATCTAAAGAATTTAGTCATAGTTCTGTTTTTTTCCTCAAAAATCTTGTCTTTTGAAGTTGTGAGAAACACTGGGCAGTATTTAATCCAATCTTCATTTTATAAGTAAGGCAATTTTTCTTTTTCCTCTAGTCAGATCAGAGACTACACCACATCAATATCAACCCTTTCTTTATCCTCCCAGCTTAACTAGATACAAATAATATTCATGCCCTGATCTAACCTCTTTTTTTCTAGTCTACCTGTAGGCATTTTTTCCAGTTGATATAGTTTGTTCTTAGTATGGACATGAACTGAACTATATCCACTCAGAAATCTAGACTTTCAAGTTCTGGGGTTGATCTATGTAAATTTATTGCCTCTAATATTGGTCTCTTCAATTCCTTTTTATAATGCCTCTAAAGACTGAAACTGACACACACACACACCAAAAAAAAAAAAAAAAAAAATTCAGGACTATTCCAATCTCCAAACCTAGTCTATTTATAACCACCCCTCAACTAGACCTTTTTAAGAGCTTTTGTAGCCTATTATTAACTACTTAGAATTAAACTGTTTAGAATTTTTAGTCCTTTAGAGACAATAGTACTACTGAATCCCGAGCCAGAGAAAAGAATAAAAGAGAACAGGTATGATGTAATCCCATCTACTTGGAAAGTAAAGACTGAGAAAACTGTAGTTAGAGGACAGCCCAGGCAAAAAGCTGGTGTGACCTTTCCCACAAACAGGCTAGGTGAGGTGATATACACCTATGAAACCAGTCACTTAATAGGCTAGCCCATGCCCAAAACTGTAAAAATATGCCTGAAAACAGCTAAGCAAAAAGGGCTGGAGATAAGACTCAAGTAGTAGAGTGCCTGTCTGTAGAGTGCTGGCCTCACATGGATGAGGCCCTGGGTTCGATTCCTCAGCACCCCATAAGCAAAAAGAAAAAAGCTGGAAGTGGTGCTATGGCTCAAGTGGTAGAGCGCTAGCCTTGAGCTGAAGAGCTGAGGGACAGCGCCCAGGCCCAGAATTCAGGCCCCATGACAAAAAAAAAAAAAAAGCCCTAAATTCAAGCCCTAGTATGACAATCAATCAATCAATCAACAGGTATAGAAATAAGCCAGTCTACCACATCTGTTTAAAAACTAAAGATAAGCCAAGAATACAATTTCAAAAATGAGACTACTGTGAACTTTTAAAAAAATCACTTATTTTTGCTTTTGCTTCCTAGCTGTCCTGTAACATTAAGCCAGAATAATTCATGAAGAAGTAAAAGTACATGATTTTAATTTGCAAAAACGTAACTAGGGCCCATACCCTTCCCCATCAGGCAAATAATTCTGAGAGCCAAATGATTCCTTGGAGTAATCAGCTGGAGCATCTTGGTAGCACTCATGCTCAGTGGTGGCTAAAGGGCAGGTGTATCTATAGCATGGACAGAGCTTAGACACATGGGATAAGATGCTCACACATTTGCATTCAAGAGACCTTGCCCAATGCAAGGGAGCCATGAGGGGATAGGAGGAGGCTTGAGAAAGGGCAAGACAGAGATGGACCTTGTCCTCATTCACACCATTGAGCTCTAAGAAATCTGAGATTTATACTTGAACACACTGGTACACAGAGGTAAGTTTGGCAAGGAATATTATTACTTGCCATGGAATATACTTAATAGTTTGTTAGTTTGATTTATAACTTTTCAATAGTTGATACATGTGTATCTCCTTTGATACTTTGTCCTAGGCCTCATGCTTCTAGGTGCTGACCTAACAGGGATTTAATTTAGTAGTATGAATTCCAGACTGTGAACTCAGCAAAGGGAGAAAGCCAGTAGTAAATTCTTTTCTATAGGGAATGGCTGGGAGGTACTTGGGATTAAATTTTCAGCTATGTCACCACCAGTACTTTTATTTTTATTTTCGAGAAAAGAGTCCCACACTTTTGCCCAGGCTGACTTTAAACTTGTAATCCTCTCACCTCTGCTCCAAACAACTGGTACTACAGGCATGCACCACCATACCCACAGATTTTTTTTATTGTTGTCTTTCCCCTTATTGCTCCAATCAATGAGCTCAATGTACACAGGAGATGAAATGCTTAAAATCTGCTCAGTTCACAGGTACCTCTTGGGATAAAATCTTTACTCCAACAAATGTGATTCTCATGCTTAAAAATCCAAGTTTTTCACATATAAGTGCTCCTAATTTAACCAACCCCTCCCCTAAACCCACCAAACCACTTCAGAAAGTCCTTTCCAATCTGGATAAATATTAGCTAGGCAGAACTTATTTAGATATTTATTATCAGTCTCCAACATGCACCTTGAAGGAAATGCTCATGGATGTGTATTATTTCTGTACATGATCTCTACCTTATAAGCATACTCTAGAATCTACTGCACTTCCAGTATATGAAAGAATTGTTCTTGTGGCTAAGTTACTACCTCCCATCTGAACCTTGATTCTACTACTCAAGTACCAAGATGAATACTAATACTATGCTCAGGAGCAGAATATGATTCAGAATTATACAGTGAGTCACTTTTTCCAAACCAATGGGTAAGAATTTGGATGTAAATATAAGTCCTTGGCTTCTGGATGGCAAGGAGGAAGAGACTGAACAGAGCTTAAAAACAGGTCTTACAAGTACTGTAAGAATGATAATAATATCACTTACAATGAACATGACTCAACTTAAATTCTCACTAAGCTTGTCATCTAACAAAATGAAATATGTTAACTTAAATGTATATATTCCATTCCCTCATGTATAAACAGAAGTTTATCGGTCTGGCCTTTCCTACCATGAAAAATGTATGATTCTATAACTAACCTACTTGCAGCAACCTGGAAATGTGAAGAATTAAGAATAATGCTCTCCCAACTTTGGCCAAGCAAGCCTTCTCCAGAGACATGAAGCTAAGTACATGTCAGGAACCTCTTAAAACAAGCCATGAATGCACAAAAGGCCTAAAGACCGAACAGTAAAGAGCCTTGCTCAAAGTCCTATCACCTGCACCAAAGTGAAGTGAGAAAGTCTGGACAACAACAAAAAGCTCTGCTTGTTATTTTTGGGCACATGTTCAGATTAGCTCACGCAGTAGATCGAAAGGAGATAGCATATTTGTTTAGAAAAGATTAACTTAAATCAGTGGAAAAAAAAAAACACCATAAATCCTTTTAAGCTATAAAGCAAGAGCATCCAATTACACAAACTGGCGGGTAGTCTGCCTGGGTCCAGCTGCTCTCTGCAGCTTCGAAACAAATGCCATTCTTTCATTTGGCATGGAATTTTAAGAGTGGAGAAGGGGTGGTGAACCAAAGGCAAATTCTGTTTATTTAAATTTGAAACAAATCTTTGCCCATCCTCAAATTTGTTTTACTATTCTGCTTTTTAGTTAAATTATATGATTTCAGTTTCAGAGCACATCTAAAAAATTAAATGTGACTTAGGTTTATAATAAAGTTATTGAACTTACCAGGGAAGGAATGAAAGCCTCATGAAACTTCTTTGGATTAATTCTCAGTACACCCTTTAAAACAAAATAATTAAAGTCTGTGAAAATCTAGCTATACATTTATGATTTTTCCATATGCATGTTATTCTCCAATAAAAATTTTTCATCAAATAATTTCACCTAGAAAACAAGTTAGCTGCATGGGAACTGACCATTGCATAAAACACAATTTATGTTGATATGTGCAACTGCAAATTGTATGGAAAACTGAAAGCTCAAACTGACACCTTGCTGGGAACAAGCTTAGGTGAGAAACAACTGATTGGTCACAGAGCAGGAAAGTGATAACTGGGGTTTTTAGATGCTGATCCCTCTCTGCTTGTCTTCAAATTGAAGCCTTGACTTTAAAAACAAGAGTATATGAGAATTATGCCTCACTAAATGGTAGCCTTTTGTATTCTACTAGTTCTAAGACTTTTGCACAAGTGCTTCTTCTCTAACAATCCAAAGTAATGCAAGCTGATTTCCAACTTGGACACTCAGCCCCAAGGAACTGGATGCATATATTTTACTCATGCCCCTCTGCAGAGCCAAATGAGTCAATAATTCAAAATGGTCCATAACCAGCTCTTAATGCAAACAGGAATGCTGGCTCCAACAGCCAGGCCACCCAGTTTGCCTTCAACTTCCTATTATTCCAGTGCCAAATCAGGGTCCGTTTCTTTTAGTGCACAGGGGTGCAAGCAGGGACACTTTTCAATAACAACAGCTCAGTATTTCAGCCTTTGCAGGAAGCCATCACTCTCCCCAGGTTCCAGCTATACTCACAAGTCCTTGGACTTACATTGATGTTTTCATAATAGCCACACTAGATGGATAACCTGAGAAAGAGTTTTAAATAACTTCCCACTAAATGAATGATTCAAAGATACATAAAGGGCATAAAATTAAAGAGACTATAGGTTCTCTCACTGGTGTACCACATTTAAATTAGAAATGTATATAATATCTTATACTATATAGACTACAACAAATGACAAAGTTGTGCGCAGAATGAGAACTAATCTTTGTCCTTGTAAAGGAAAAGGTATAAAATAGCCTAAGTGAGAGTAAAATTTACTTTCAGTGGACATCAAGGAAGGCTCCAAAAGGCTGGGAAGGTGGCTCAGTGGTAGAGTGCTTGCTTTGCATGCATGAGGCCCTGGGTTCGATTCCTCAGCACTACATAAGCAGAAAAAAGCCAGAAGTGGCACTGTGGCTCAAATGGTAGGGCACTAGCCTTGAACTGAAGAGCTGAGGGACAGGGCCTAGGCTCAGAGTTCAGCCCCCACGACGGACAAAAAAAAAAAAGGCTCCAGGGGCTGGAAAGGTGGCTCAGTGGTAGAGTGCTTGCCTTGCATGTATGAGGCCCTGGGTTCGATTCCCCAGCACCACATAAGCAAAAAGAAAAAAAGCCGGAAGTGGTGCTGTGGCTCAAGTGGTAGAGCGCTAGCCTTGAGCTGAAGAGCTGAGGGACAGCACCCAGGCCCAGAGTTCAGGCCCCACGATCGGACCCCCCCCCCCCAAAAAAAAAAGGCTCCAAAGATGGTGCCTAGCCTTTTTTGCCTGCAAGATTTCTAGGTAAGCTGAGAATAAAAGGACAACGGAGGGCACTGTGTTCACAAGAGTGGACAAGAGGGCCAATATTCATTCTACCCCATCAGGCTACAGAGTTAACAGTGGGAGAAGGCAGAAGATAACACTGGCCCAGCTCTCCAGACATCCTTGTTAAGAGCTCTAAAGCAAGGCCAGCTGTTGTGGTACATGGTACATACAGCTACAAGTGGAAACAGAGATCAGGAAGATACTGAGTCAAGGATAGCTGGAGTAAAATATTAGCAAGACTTCATCTCAAGCAACAAACTAGGCATCATCTGCACCTGTGTTCCAAAAAATAACTAAAGCAAAATACAGTGGGAGGTGTGGCTCAAGCAACAGTGTTTGCCTAGCAACTTGAGGCTCTGAATTTAAAAACTAGTACCACCAGAAAGAGGGGGAAAAAAAAAGAATGCTGAAGCAAATTCACTTCAGGGATAGCTCATAGTCTAAGCAAGAGAAAACACTCTAAATCAAAGTCAATGTTACATTTTATACAGCTTCGTTTTCTGATTACAGGAAATTTTATCTAGTATCATTTGTTAAGATACATGTTCTCCCATCATCCCTTCAGTTTGGGGAATGGTTAGGACTTGAAGATGTACAGAAATGAGAATGTACTCTGTTTTGAATATACCTTTAATTACAGACTATGCAGAGAAGCCATGGGTTATGGGGAAATAGAAATGTTGCTCTAGCCGGGCGCTGGTGGCTCACGCCTGTAATCCTAGCTACTCAGGAGGCTGAGATCTGAGGATCTCGGTTCAAAGCCAGCCCGGGCAGGAGAGACCGTGAGACTCCTATCTCCAATAAACCACCAGAAAACCAGAAGTGGCGCTGTAGCTCAAGTGGTAGAGCGCTCGCCTTGAGCTGAAGAGCTGAGGGACAGCGCCCAGGCCCAGAGTTCAAGCCCCACGACCGACAAAAAAAAAAAAAAAAGAAAGAAATGTTGCTCTAGGCTTATTTAAAAGAAAAGATTTTAAAGGTTCTATTCCTAATTCTCTATGCCAAATTGGTCAGTACATAAGAGTATACAGGTATCTATGTTGTTGCTGGAGGTGGTGGCAGTGTTATCTGGAAGTAGAGGGTTCATTTATTTTTCTTTTTTAACTTCTTAGTTGGGGGGGGGCGGGGAGCAAAGGGAGTTGCTGAAAGGGAAAGAGGAAGGGTGAACAAATACAATCATGGTATTCAGTATACACTATGTAGAAAATGAACTATGCAACTAGTGGACAGGGATGCGAGGTGGAAACTGGAGGGAAGAAAAGGAGGAGTGATACTATCCAAAAGAGACACATATGCATTATCTGAGTTTTGAAATAGTAACCTTCGGTAAAACACCTCAATAATAACAGTAAAATTACATTGTTTTTTAAAAAAATAACAGAAGCATTATTCTAGAATAGCATTTGTAAATTTTACAGACGCATGTCTTAAGAACTAAAACTAAGGAACATATCCCTTGAGAACACAGATTACACTTAGAGCAGAAAACTCTAATAGAACCCCAAAGCAGACCAGAGCTATTCTTACAGCCTAAGGGAAGAAGCTGAAAGTAAAGCTGGTAACAAAATAGTCCACCCACTGAAACACACGTCAAGCAAATACTCCATCTTAGCTAGAGAAGTCCAAGACTGCATTTCTGAATTTCTCTACCCACAGCCTACCTACCCTCCCCCGTCTCCCATCTCCTAACTTCTTCCTAAACCCTTTTCTGGGCTTAGAATTTGACCAGTGAAGATCCTGAATCTCCCATCTCTTTTCTAAACTGAACTGGAACCTGGCTGTCCCCTAAAGTTATCTCGTCCCTTGTAGTGCTCTAAAGAGGAGTCCATTGTTACCTCTAATATCCCATGCATCTCAGGGATGGAAAAAAAACTGCTCCCTCCTTGCTTTCCCCATAATAGTTTTCAATTATTTTCTTTTCTTTCTGTGTTGTTTTTCAAAAGCCACAGATCCTTTGAAGTACATGCTACTAGCTCCTTCCATACTTCACTGATGCTGTCATTTCTAACTTTCTGGTCAGAGTCCTAATTCACAGTTTTGACTCATAGTTCACAGCCTTTCCCTTCATTCCCACTCTTGTGGGACCTGAAGTCTAACGTGGCATCTCTAACCTGTCACGCTAGCTACTTTCTCCTCCACCCACTCCAGCCACTCTTTCCCATGTCCACTGCCTGCATACTGTCATTACCATTAACTACACTACTTCCAAATACAAAATACCACGTCTCTCTTTCTGATTAGTCTCCTGTCCTTCTAGATCAGTTCCTGTGGAAACTCCAATAATTCTCCAATTGCACTATGACCTCCAAGGCATAGCACACAAAACCCAACTCTCCAATGAATTTCCTATCCTTGTCTTTCCACTGTACTTACTTTCTTAGCCACCTCACTGGCATGGCCTGCCATTAAGGCTTCCCCTCACAACCCCTGAGCCATGGGTCCCCCTCTTCCTCTTATACTTAATCAGCAGAGCCCTCCTACCTTAACTGACCCCAGCTATCTGCCCTTTCCCTGTCTGTACCCAATGAGCTAAATGGTACTGAAGAAGAACACAACTGGGAGCCAGGCACCAAAAGCTCACACCTATAATCCCTGCTACTCAGGAAGCTGAGATCTGAGGATCACAGTTCAAACCCAGCCTGGGCAGGAAAGTCTATGAGACTCTTATCTCCAATTAAGCACCAGAAAAACAGAAGTGGCACTGTGGCTCAAGTGGTAGAGCACTTGCCTTGAGCTGAAGAGCTCAGGGACAGCACCCAGGCCCAGAGTCCAAGCCCCACAACCAACAAAAAAAATAAAAAAGAACACAACTGGGCTAGTCCAAATCAGCAATCACAAACATATTTTATCTGGTTTACAGGATGCTTGAAAAAGCTCAGAATTAAGGAATTACACACACTTTAAAAAATATATGCATTTCTAGATTTTCTTGAAAAATCACTAGATCTACCAGCTTTGGATAGCTATCTCCACATAGCAGCAATCACCTGACAGAAACCATGCCTGTACCTCTAACAGTAGTAAAAACAATTCTGAGGAACACTTACATAGGTGTACAATGGGCCATTCACTATTTTAAAATTCTTCTCTGTATGTTACAAATCTAATACCCCAACAACTCTGAGGCACATATGACTAGCCTCATTCTTGCAGATGAGGAAACTGAAGCACTAAGAAAGTAAGTAAACTGCCCACCATCATACCACATAGAAACTCAGACAGCCTGGCTCTTTACCAAAGACTGCCTCTTGTCTGCTTTGGTCACTACCAGAGCCTCTTCACTCATTCATGCCTCTTCCAAATCAGTACCACAGTCCAATCCTCAATCTCCCCTAGCTTAGTTAATGTCCATGTCACCCACCCAGCTGTTTTACTCAAACACTTAGGAGACATCCTAGAGTCTGTTCTTTGCCTCACCTGCCACATCTAACCCATGAGCAGGTCAGCTATTACTCTTCATATTCATTGCAACCACCAACTTCATGTCTGTGTTTTCTTGCATAGTTTACTTTGATGGCTTGCTTAGTGATCTCCTGGCTTCCACTGCAGTCTATTCTTTTAACAACAGCTAAAGAGTATTTTTTTTATTTGTTTGTTTTTTGCCAGAACTTGGGTTTGGATTCAGGTTCTGATGCTTATGTGGCTTCCTTGCTCAGCTGGCACTCTACCACATGTACCATGCCTCCAGACTGGCTCTGTGCTGGATATTTGGGAAATAGTCCGACAGACTTTTCTTCTTGGGCTAGCTTCAAAGAATGATCCTCAGGATCTCAACCTCTTGAGTAGCTAGGATGATCGGCATGTACCCTGTGCTCAGCTAGAGAGACATTTTAAGATATGAAATAAATTGCATTCTTCCTGCTTACTATTTCAGTTACTTTCCATTGTTCTATGAATAAAATCCAACTCTCCAACCTATCCGAGAGATTCTAAATGACTTGGCAGCTGCCAGGCTTTCCACCTTATTCCCATATCAAAATTTCTTGTCCATTTATGGTTCAGGAGGCTTCCTTTTAGAACCTCAAAAACACCAAGCCTTCTTCTGCTTGCTGTTCTTCTAACAGTCGATCTCCCTGCCTATCTACTTTTCCAAAGGCTTAAGATGGCTGACCCATTCTTGCCTTTCAGATTTCAATTCAGATAACCTCAGAATCCTTCTTAAACCATGTGATATAATGGGCTTTCCCCTAATTATTCTCTCTTCTTTCTTATTTCCCTACTAGTAATTATCAGTTTGTGATTTCTTTTGTACTGCTTTATTTTTGCCTGCTCCCCAGTAACTTTCTTAATTTGTTCATTTGTATATGCTTAGCATTTACTAGGATATCAACAAACATTTCTGAAGCCAATTAATTAATGTCTATAGAAGTAAAGTCCTACAACTGCCCTTGGTAATAAGGCTATGAATGTCACTTCTCCCTTCTGAATGACTAGACATTCCACTGTAATGTCATCTTTAATTCACACCTATGTATTCTCCAGCTGATTTCACTCTTAACGTAAGGGAGCAAGTCCTAGAATTAGCTCATCCTTTCCTTTGTCTTCCTAGACTAAGATTTTTTTCCAATAACAAGTTTATACCAACAGCATGCTGCAAAAGGAACTCTGACATTATACCTTAGGAAGTTCTGGAGGCTCAGCCTGAACTTTCTTTAACTTTAAAGTATCATCAAGGTTCTGAAACAGCCATTCTACCATCTCTTACCTATGTTACTATGATCATCAACCAAAACCAGATACGCCTATCATGCACTAATCTCTGCCAACACCTCTTATAATAACCTCTTGATAATGCACCAAAGGAGAAAACAAATAATATATGCTCTCTGGAGTTAGAACTTATTTAAACTTCAGAACTACATGTACATGGATAATTATTGCTAGTCTGTTTCAAATATAGAAGAGATCACATTCATCAGAGGTGTCTCCTTTTCTATATAGAAACAATGAAATGTTGAATTTCAGTTAAGATATAGAAAATAATAATACTATTCTACTCTCATTTTTTTAAATCCTTAATATCTTTTTTTTTTTTGGTCGGTTGTGGGACTTGAACTCTGGGCTTGGGCGCTGTCCCTGCACTCTTCGGCTCAAGGAGAGTGCTCTAGCACTTGAGCCACAGCACCACTTCCAGTTTTCTAGTGGTTTGTTGGAGATACGAGTCTCGTGGACTTTCCCGCCTGGGCTGGCTTTGAACCACGATCCTCAGATCTCAGCCTCCTGAGTAGCTAGGATTATAGGCATGAGCCACCCGGTGCCCAGTTCCTAATATCTTTCATTAAAGCAATTTCCCCACTCTGGATAAAGAGAAGAAAAAGGTCATGATATACTTAAGTTTGATTATAAAATGTTAACAATTTTAATATATCTGATATACTTAATTTTCTCCAATAGAGTTAAAGTTTCCTTTCCTGTCTAGTTTTTTACTTTACAGGCTTACAGAGAACATTTATATCTGAAAGCAGATGGACTCTGTTTCTCTGCCTATGAAAATCTTATTTACAGTGTTGTATATTTCACATGGTGACCTCATATCTGGAACCTATTCCTCTCCCCATCTGCAGAGAACAACTGTTCTCATATGTGGGGGGCTCTGGCTGCAGAGGCTCATGATGTCACAGGCCAGGAGGAATCACTTACAAACTCCTGGGAATGCAAGCTGTTATATTGATCTGATTTTTGGACTGTTTTATCTTAATGTCAGCAAAAGTCACTTCAAAAGCAAAAAATTAAAAGGAAGCAAAAACAAGTAACATTACAAAATACACCCTATCTCTGTAAAGGTATAATCAATGTTCTAAGCTATTTTTCTTTCAACTAAGGTTCCTCTCATTTTTCTTCAACTAACTATATCTTATTGTTTATATTCACCCAGTAAATAAATATTTATTCAACATAAATTTATTAAACACCAACAAAAACCCATGTACAGGGCTAAGCTGTAGAATGAAACACAACCCAGCCATCAAGAAAATATGGTCTATTTGGGAAAATACAAAAGTCATAAAACAGTAATAGAAGCATTAAAAAAAAAAAGCTGGCTTCAGGAAGGTGATAACACCCAACTCTGTTTAGGGAAGTGAGAGGATCATTTAAGCAGGGACTGGATAAAATAAGCATGAATACATAGATAATGGGAAAAATATTCAAAGTCAAAGCCACAAAGGAATCCGAATTCTTAATTTTTAGAGGAAGTCTGGAAGCTCAGCATAAACAAATATTCTTAGAGGAGAATGGCAGGAGAAAGTGATGGAAGAGTGCCCCAGGTCCTAATAGAGGAAAAGGGAGGGCCAAAGCACTTGTAGGTAAAATGGTGGCCAGCATACAAGCTGAACAACGAAGAGCCAATAATGGAATAATGAATGAACAAATGTCCAAATATGGCTTCTACTTACAAAAGGGCCCTGTCAAAGAAATCTAGAAGATATTTAAAAACAAAAGCAACAAAAAGCCAATGGTATTTAGAATCAGAAAGATCAACTTTTTAGTTATCAGTGTTCCAGTCAAGAGTCCACATCCATCACAGGTAAATAAGGAAAGATAGGAGCAATGATGACTGTATCGATTATTTGGATGAATCTTCAGCAAAAAACAACTACAGAGGCTGGGCTTTCAGAATGAGACAAAAATCCGATGCAGTCAACATTTTCAAGTGATCCAGTAGCACATGTCAGTATTTCCATAATCATCAAGAATTATAAAATAGACTTAATTAGAAGAATATACAACCCTGTTTCCTTCTCCAGGCTCAATACCTACTAACTGCCTCAGATTTCATGCTCAAGAGACCTAAGCTGTCTTACTCCACAAGTTCACATTTTCACTTATGCCACTGCTTCTCCATCATCCCTCCAACACATATATCACTCAACTAACAGCCCAAACTAGTCATCCATCAATGCCAACCACGAGGTCACCTTCTAGAAGAGGCCACACTAGAATCTCAGTCCACACAGTTCCCTCAACATTCTCCCATACACATCACTCTTCTCAAACCAGTTCACAAGACTGCCTCCCCTGACTGGACTGCACTCTCAGCACAGAGATGGTTTCATCCACAGTCACATTAACAGCTCCCAGAGGATGTTCTAGCCATAGCCATTCCTAACTCCACAAACATGTGCTCAGCCAAATCACTCAACTAGCTTGTGAACATATTTATAAACTATAAAGTACTCAATTAATATTGCTAGTGTTGTTTATTGTTTCCTTCCCAACCTTACTCATTTTTCTGTTATTCAGCATCAATCTGACTGAGCTTCAGTAAAGCAGAACTGAAATATCCAGTGTTTCCTGTATCCAGCCCCCACCCAGTCTGTCTCAGTAGATCACTGCTTGAAAAGCTCTCCCTTTTCCCCTATACCCTCTCACTCTCCCACCACTCTCCCCCTCTTGCCACTTCCCCCCCTCCTCCCCTGCTTTGCTTAGCTTACTTATAGTGCACCAATCCACAACCTGGCTCAAGTAAATCCCTTCTTATAAAGAACAGAGAACACTAACTGTAATAAGGTGTCTCCTCTCACATTTCAGTGCTTAGCACCTCTAAATGCACTGTAGGTCTAAGAAGCAAGAAGACCTACACCAGTTATGTCATCATCTCAAAGTATACAGCATATACACAGCTTGTTTGATTGGGGGAGGGTTTTTTATACTATTGTGATTTGAACTCAGGGCCTTGTGCTTACTAGACAAATACTGGACCACAATCTTCCTAGCCAAGACAGGCATGTCACCCAGTTTGTTTGTTAACTCTTTACCCAAGCTGGTATTAGAATCACCATCCTCCTGATCTCCACTTCCTGAGTAGCTGGGACAAAATAGTTTACTGAACAATTGATTGTTATGGTTCCACGTGTTCAAGGAATAGCCTGCTAGTAGATTTTTAAGCACCTGGATAAGCATTCCTCTCTTCAGGCCTTCTGAAACATCCTCCTTGGACATGTAAGTTTCAAATATGCTCTTTTTCTTCCCTCTCATGGACTTGTTCTTTGACTTTTTGTCACCTGGCGAAGCACCAACACCATGTGAGGACACACCTAGAAACATGAGGCAGCAATCAGCCCTTTCCTCAAAACTCTCTGATCCCTGGGTGGGGAGGGAAGGTATTTATTGTTTGATTTTTGTTTTCTTTTTAATGGGTGCTGTTCCTGGGACTTGAACTCGGGAACTGGGCACTGTCCCTGAGCTTATTTTGTTCAAGGATAGCACTCTACCACTTGAGCTACAGCTCCAATTCTGGCTTCTTAGTGATTAATGGAGGTAAGAATCTCATGGACTTTCCTGTCTGAACTGGCTTCAAACCACGATCCTCAGATCTCAGCCTCTTGAGTAGATAGGAATACAGGAATGAGCCACTGGCACCTGGCTGATTCCTGTGCTTTTATGACTGAAGATATTAGGCCTTTGTTATGATTGCTGTTATCATCATTATTCACAAAGACAAATAAGAAAATGACCTGTCTGGTGAATTGAAACACTATAAAAAGAAAGAAAGGGTAAGAAAATGTAAATAAGATGGACCTATATGAGACATGATTTCTAAATAAGCCTCATAATATTCATGGAAAAACATTGAAGAATGGGTTTGGTATGCTGTTATTTATAGATATTGTGTGTATGCGTGCACATGTGCATGTGTGTCTGTGTCTATGTCTGCCTGCATCTATGTCTGTATGTCTGTGTATCTGTGTGTGTCAGTCAGTCCTGGGGCTTGACTTCAGGGCATTGAGCTTTTGTGTTCAAGGCTAGCACTCCACCATGAGCCTCAGCTCTACTTCTGGCTTTTTGGTGGTTAAATGGAAAGAAAAGTCTCATGAACTTTCCTTCCCAGGATGGCTTTAAACAATGTTCCTCAGATCTCAGCCTCCTGAGTAGCTATGATTACAGGCATGAGCCACCATACCTGGCTCAAATATGCTTTTTAAAACTAAAAATCAACACAAGGTACCTGTGGCTCACACCTATAATCCTAGCTACTTAAGAGGCTGAGAGGAGGGCTAGGAAGGTGGCTCAGTGGTAGAGTGCTTGCCTTGCATGCATGGGTTCGATTCCTCAGCACCACATAAGCAAAAAGAAAAAAAGCCGGAAGTGGCACTGTGGCTCAAGTGGTAAAGTGCTGGCCTTGAGCTGAAGAGCTGAGGGACAGCAACCAGAGTTCAGGCCCCATGACCGGACTCAAAAAAAAAAAAAAGAGGCTGAGATATAAGGATCATGGTTCAAAGCCAGCCCAGGAAAGAAAGTCTGTGAATCTCTTATCTCCAATTAACCACTAAAAGCACAAAATGGAACTGGGGTTCAAGTGGTAGGGTACTATCCTTAAGCAAAAGAGCTCAGGTCATCACAGAGACCTTGAGTTCAAGTCCCAGTACCAGCATGTGTGCTTGCGTGCATGCGTGTGTGCGTGCACACCCGCACACACACATACACACACACACACACACACACACACACACACACAATAGGAATCATCAAAAGATGATCACCTTTCAGAAGGAAATTCAACAACTATTAATGGAAAACACTTAATTCTAAAATAAAAAGCATAGGAAAATAGTTAACAGCCCATCATCTCACTTTATCCTAAATGCCCTCCACCACCATACCCATTCTACTTGTATCTCAGTTCTCCAATTGCCAGTGCAACTCCATTTTCCTTTTGCTACCTCTGGGGGTCCCTATGGGCCGGAGGTTCAGCCTGCAGTCAGGATGGCTCATTACTGGTTCCAAAGTCGCCTGTTCTTTGCAGATTCAGGGGAACCTCCACTGCTCCGCTCAGAGTTCTTCCTTCCTTGAACAGCTCAGTTATCACAAGCTGAAACCAAAGAGAGAGCAGTTAACCTGTAGCCTCCTTTTTCACCTCAGAAACTGAGTGCTAAATGCATTTGGATGGCAAGGGCAACACCGTGTACTCCTAGGTCCTGGTGTCACATTTTTCTTGGCAGTTAATCAAGCACGCCATCTGTGCTGAATTTCTCTTCAAGACTTTCATTTTCACAGGCACACTAGGCTTCTCCTCTGGGGTTCCAACTAAAAGTCCACAGTAGAACAATCAATTGGAAAATAAGAAACTATATGGTTCTATGAAGCTTGTGAAATATACAAAAATAAGAGAAAATGTGGTTTTGAAAGATAGTATCAAGATATAGAATCTAAGTTGTTACAGAATAAGTACTAAACAAAACTCAAGATATGTCATTTACTGTGTAGCCTTGTACAAATTGTATACCTCTATGAACTCAAGTAAATTCTTTAGAACTTATCAACAAAACATAATTCACAACCTGATGCCCAAAACTATGCAGGGAACCCCAGATGGTTCACAAGCTTTCAAAAACTAATGGTGGAAGTCTATTCCCCTGTAGAAGTCTATACCCCTATTCTTACCTATGGTCCCCTCAAATTAGGTCTCTAATCAGACTGCTCTAAGCAGAGTTGCTTCTGAGGAACACAGAGAAACAGTTGCCCGGGTCAGAGGCTAGAATATGTAGCCCTGCAGCTGGGCTCTGATAACCCACCAGGAGAGCAAACGTGTTACCAAAACTTACTTTTTTTAGTTTCTGCTAGCTACCAGCCAGGAATCAAGTTTATACCTGTAAACTTTCAAAATCCTGAGGAGTAGCCTGCTTTCCCATAAAATGGATCAAGACGCCTCTCTGAACATTTCTTCCAAATTTTTCCCATACATCCCTCATCAAATTTAAAGTTACCTTTAAACTGAAATTAATACTGGGGGAGGGGGGAGATGGGAAGGGATGGGAAGGGGAAACAAAGGAGGAGGCAACAATGCTTGATAAGAAATGTACTCATTACCTTGACCATGTAATTGTAACCCCTCTGTACAGTATTTTCACAATAAAAAAAATAAAAATAAAATAAAATAAATTAATACTAAGTCAGGAGAAGAGAAGCAACAAAGACAAAGATAATAGGACACTTAGTGATACACAAACTGGCTCAGAGATAAAGTCCAAATGCAAGGAGGGAGAGAAAGAGGTGGCCTGAGAGAAACTGCAAAAGAAGGTAAAGGCACATAGAGGATTTCAGACAATGTGAAGTTAATCCAGAAAGACACAGCCTCTCATGAACTCAATAAATACTTCTGCAAAGCACTGTACTAGTCATAGTGAGGGCCAAAATGCAATTAAGTTTTTAAAGTCATATTGATAATAATTAAGACATGTTGGGAAATACCAGCACCATGATGTTTTAAAGTATGGATAGCTGTACAGACTAAGAAGGAAAAATATCTCCAGGTCAGGAAATCTGAGAGCACTTTGAGATTTTAAGGAAGAACTACAGAAGTAAGAAAAGCATCCACCTGGCAAAAGGAAACAAAGAGATGCAAACAGAAAAATGAGTAGATTCTTGCAACATTAATTCTACCTAGCAAGAGTCCCACCTATGTACAAAGAGGCAGTGATGAGGAAATTAAAACATGCTGGAAGGTCTAGAAAAACAGCCAGGTTTTTCAAAGACACTAGCGGGGTTCTGAAGCCTGAACAGGCAAAAGAGAAGAACAGTAATGACAGTTGTGTCTCAAGAAAAATCATCCCAGCACAGGACTCAGAGATGAACAGAGTCTAAGCAGTAGCTGCACCTTAGGAGAGAACAAGAAAAGGTGGACAAAGAGTAAGAGAGCCAGAACTAGAGATGTACCAGCAGACACAAAACTCCACAGGACAGGCTGGAGAAGAGCCAGCTTGTGGCATCTAGATAGGTTTCCAGCTAAGCGCCTGGGAGACAGGAATATCCTTTCGAGAAGATGACCAAATATGTGGAAAGTAGGCATAACTTACAGAAAGAAATTGGCCAGACCTTTGCATGAACGTGGCAACCCAAAGCATTCAAGAACCAATTAGACTGACAAAAAAAACGATCCACTGAAACAGAGAAGGGCCTAAGACAAGTGATGACTAAGCAATTTTTGGTTCCCCTGGTATAACAATGTTAAGCCCATTGGCCCTGGAGAAGTTCTAGGTACTTATATTCTCACAAAATCAATAAGGTAACTTTTAGGAGTGCAAAGGGGAAGTATAAAACAGCAAAGAAGCTAATAATGATATAGGAAAAGGACAGTCAGGTATATATAAAAAGAAAAAAAAGGAACTGGGCCAAGTGGCTCAAGTCTATAATCCAAGCTAGTTGAAAGGCAGAGACTGGGGGAAAGGGATCAGAGTTAAAGGCCAGCTGGGGCACAAAAGTCCCTTTAAACCAATGACAGGACACAGTGATGCTCACCTGTCATCCCCAGAAACACAGGGAAACATAAATAGGAGGATAACAGCTCAGGCCAGTCCAGGTATAAGGTAATGCCCAGCGTCCTAGAAATAACCAATGGAAAAGGGCTGAAGGCATAGGTCAAGTGATAGAGTGCCTGCTTAGTTAGCAAGTATAAGGCTCTGCATTCAATCCTCCATTAATTTTGTTAAACAAAAATTTTTAATTGAAAAGAAAGGAGAAAAGAGAACAGATCCTTGAGTTAGATTTGCTCCCACCAGTAGGAACACAACAGTAGTGTACCAAATCCAAATAAAAATACTTCAAGAAGGAAAAAGGATCCTTTTAACTTATCAAATAGCATAGATTTGTATGTGTGTGTGATGGTACTGGGGTTTGAACTCAAGGCCTTGCACTTACCAGGCAGATATGCTACCACTTGAGCCACACTACCACTTCTCTGGACTAATTATCTGGATTGCCTCTGTTAGTGTTCTACAGGAATATGTCAATTTAATGTTAGGCTTCTTGTTGGGGGAAAGATATCTCAAAAATTTTCTTAAGGAATTATTTCTTTGTTGGTTTGTATGTCCCTCCACCACAGTATAACCCCTGCTTTCACTGTATTTGATGTCGGTATAATTTGTGGAGGGGAAGGGGAAAAACAAGTCATTTAAATAAGGATACAGGTGGACCTGTTGCAACAATGAGAAGTACATGTTGTCATGTCAAAAACGAACTTTACAACTTCGGGGGGGGGGGGGGGACTGGGGGGGGGGGAAGAGAGGATGGGAAGGGATGGGAAGGATAAACAAAGGAGGAGGCTACAATGCTTGATAAGAAATGTACTCACTATCTTGCCCATGTAATTGTAACCCCTCTGTACAGTATTTTCACAATAAAAAAAATTTTTTTTCTTAAGGAGGCAGGGTGCTGGTAGTTCATGCCTGTAATTATAGCCACTAAGAAGGCTGAGATCTAAGGATCCCAGTTGGAAGCCAGCCCTGGCAGGAGAGTCAGTGAGACTCTTACCTACAATTAACCAACAAAAAGCCATAAATAGAACTATGGCTCAAGTGATAGAGTGCTAGACTTGAGCAAAACAGTTTAGGGACAGTGCATAGGCCCTGAGTTCAAGCCCCCGGACTCGTGCACACATGCGTACACATGGGTACACATGCATGCATGCATGTACATGCACAGACCCGCACACACACACAAATCTTCATGGGGTTTTTGCTTGTTTTGACTTGTTCTTGAGGTGCTAGGTATCAAAACTCAGGTCCCAAGTTACCCCAGCTCTCAGTGGGTATTTTTTTACTTTACTTTTTCCCATCCTGTCCCTACCCACAATTATTTTTTTAATACCTATGACAGTACCGTCTTTCTACAAGAATAGAAATTATGTGTTATCTAATATGGTAACCATGTCTTTGAAACTTTTTTTTTTTTTTTTTTGGGTCCGGTCGTGGGGCCTGAACTCTGGGCCTGGGCGCTGTCCCTCAGCTCTTCAGCTCAAGGCTAGCGCTCTACCACTTGAGCCACAGAGCCACTTCTGGCTTTTTTCTTTTTGCTTATGTGGTGCTGAGGAATCAAACCCAGGGCCTCAGGCATGCAAGGCAAGCACTCTACCACTGAGCCACCTTCCCAGACCCAAAGTACATATTTCTTTTTTTTTTTTTTTTTTTTGGGGGGGGGGGTCCGGTCATGGGGCCTGAACTCTGGGCCTGGGCACTGTCCCTAAGCTCTTCAGCTCAAGGCTAACGCTCTACCACTTGAGCCACAGCGCCACTTCTGGCTTTTTTCTTTTTGCTTATGTGGTGCTGAGGAATCAAACCCAGGGCCTCAGGCATGCAAGGCAAGCGCTCTACCACTGAGCCACCTTCCCAGCCCTGAAACAATTTTAATGAGTGATAATGCAGCTGAAACACTGCCAAATGTGAAACAATTGTACTTAATCTTTATTCTCATATTTGTTCAGGTTTTTAAATTCTAGATTATAAAAGTTTCTCTTGCCACTTTAAAGATGTAATTCCATTGTCTATGACCGGCATTATTTTTATTTAGAGATCAGCCATTCATCTAATATTTAATTATTCAAAAGTATATTGTTCCCCCCTTCCTATTCTGGGCAGCTTTTTGAAATGTTCCTCTTTATCTTTGGTTTTCTGTTTATTTATCAGAGCATGAAATATATGAGTTTCTTTTCATCCTGCTTGGTGTTGGTAAGGTTTCTTGAATCTATTACTTGATAATTTTCATCACTCTGGGAAAGTTTTCAGTCATTCTCTTTTCAAATATTGTTTCTGCCCATTCTCTCTCAACTCTAAACTTTTGATTTCCTCCATATCTCTATTTCCCCTTCAAAATCTTAAGTATTTTCCACTTTCTTTTCTTGAACTTGGCTACTTCGTTAATTCCCTCATATATATATATATATATATATATATATATATATATATACATATATATATATATATAGTTGTAAAGTTCGTTTTCAACATAGTGTCTTGTACATCTCATTGTTACAAGGGTCAACCTGTATCCTTGTTTCAGCATTTTGTTATTTCTCTTCCCCTCCCCAAATCAGAAAAG